GGGGGTAGGCTACAGCTGTAGTCTACCCCCACACTGCCCTGCACCTGATTCCAAGACACAGGCCTTCTCCCGCCACCACATTAAGTGGGGGAGAACTTCATCTTGGAATTGAGCATATACAGTATTCTTTTATTAAGTTAGATACCAAAATTAATTATCTTTATTGCAATCCGCTCCTATTACCCACAGGCCCATTCACAAAATACGGATCTGAGCCATTTTAAAGCAGGGTGATGCAACATTTTTTTCCAATTTTTTCTATTGTATCCTCTACCTCCTGTCTTGATCACAGGCCTGTACTGAAGATGAGTCTCCTCTCCAGGAGAACTCCTGTGGAAGTATCTAAAGAATTTTTTTTTCTAAAGCACCACATACAACATCTCTCAAAAAGAAAATTATGTTAATTTTTCAGCAAGTAGATTCATAGTCAAATGTAAATTGTACCTACAGACTAAAACTGGATTTTATATCTTTGTGTTTCTTTCTAACATTAGCCAGCTTGCTTACCTCTCAGTGAACAATAACTTTGTGATGCCACCTCCAGGGATATGTAGAACCTTCTCTGCATTGTTTATTTCAGGGTAAGCTGCTACTTTTTCCATCTCTTTCCAGTTTAGCTTCTGCATCTGATCTCCAACTGTTTTCTGAATTGTAGGTGAGAGCAGATACCGCAGTGGTGTACTGAGAAAAAAAATATATTAAATGCAAGAATGCTGTATATGATGCATGGGTTACTGCATGTATAAGAACACAACTGGAATCAGTCCAGGGCCTTTACCCTGCAATAAGTATTGCACAAAGATTGTTTTCTTTTACAAGACAGACCAGAGGCTAATTTGTGGTTACAAAATGCTGTAAGCTAGTCAGCTATCTACCACATAAGATAACTAAATGGTACATGTTGGAAGTACCTATTTAAGCCTAAAGCAATCAAGTACCCTTTTTCTCCTTCAGCTACCATTATATAAGATTAAGAAAAAGATGAGCTGACTGTTAAACTACTGTATTTTTTATTTTTGAATAGTAGAGTCCTTTTCTCTTGAGGTCCAAATAACTGTTACATACAGAAAAGCAGGGATGCTGAAGTTTGAGTAATTCATTTAGACTTGTTAAATTGATCTGTACTGGGTTATAGTAGGCTTGAACTTAACATTAGGAAGATATACTTTGCTATGACTACTTTAAATAGCTTTTCAATCATTTCAGAAATTGTTTTGCTGTAAAATCAGTTCCACAGACTTAGCCTGTATGTCTGCTATCAGAAAACAAAGGACTTAATCCTGTGGTATACAACAGCCTAGAACATGTGAAATGATTCTTGATGAGTGAATGTAAATGCCAGTTTTAAAAACAAGCATGCAAAGTGTAACTGGTAATCATACAGGCACATCATTCAAGCCTATGACTTATTTAAAGGACATTGTGTTTTATTAAGATATGTAGTCTGGAAAAAAATCCAGCAATTTCATCATCTTTATCATGGATTACAATGCCTTCAGGGTGAAAAACAATTTTTTTAAAGAAAAAACCGTCATCTCTCACGTTCCCTGTAGCTTAAACATTGCAGTGTCCTACTAATGTAAAGAACAGAATGTTAAACTGACCACAGCTCAGCGAAAGTTAATTTGGTTTATTATCTACACTGAAAGACAGTAAAGTCAGGAAAGCAGAGAGAAACTAGATTTTTTTAATTTGACTTTAATAGTCTTGACTTCATTTGAATTCTCTTAGAACACAGTACTGAATATATATTATACAACACACATCCACACACAGCAAAAGGAGCATATCAAACATAGTAAAAGCAATCAAACCCAGACTAGATGAAAATATACCATTTAACTTTATGTAAAAGAAATATTAATCAGATGGCCAAAAGTAATCATACAAACATACCCATGAAGCTGCTGATCATCACGCTGGTATGCATGACTGCTAGACAGAAGAATAACTCTGGCACATTTACTGCTTTTCACCCAAGAAAGAACAGTTTGACAAAAGGACCTGTATTTATTCTTCGGAGAAAATGGAGAAAAAGAATGACAAATCAGATCTTTAAGAAATGCCAAACTACTACAATACAAGAGACTAACATTTTGCAACAATGCAAGGTAATGTTCAACTATTTTTTCCTCCTGCCTATTAGGTCTTTACTTTAGGATCATTTTTTAATGAAGGGCTGCAAACTGAAACAACTTAACCAAAATGTTTTGTGTTGGAATTAAATTGTCAGTATGAAAATATTAATTTTCATGCAATGATACAAAACGGATCCAATTCCCACTGATATGGATAGGATTATAGAGTTAGATTGGGTCCTAAGAAATCCAGAATATTTTCCTCCAGC